GTTAAGTAATTATCCTATTTCTCAGAAGTTCCAGGAAAAGGCATTCTATGTAATGGTATAATGTTATCTTCATTATGATCAAGTTATTTAATATGAGGTTTGGTTACATTTCATGTCTGCGTTCTTGAAGCATATTTTTCCCATTAGTGGTCCCGTCTTTCGTTTAACTCTTGATTGAAAAATTATCTTAGGTGAAAGACAGTGGACACATCATCAAATAGATTCTGGGAAGAAAAATAAACATCAAAACAACTATACTGATTACCACGGTTCCATTATCCAAGAATTTATATATTAAGAATGTTGAGTTAATTCTTCTCACACCATCTCAATAATTTTGGTAAGGAAATCTGACTAGGTTTTTTTTTAATCATTTATTAGATCAAATTCTACTAATTTGGGGGAAAAAGATATATTTTTTATCACAAGAACTGTAACAAGCTAATACAAATGTCAGACTAGAATAGATGGATAGTTTAAAAACTCTCAGTATAATAAATTCTAATTCAATATAATAAGCACTTTTCAAATAGATCTAAGTATTATATTTTAAATGCATACAGATCAAAGAAAATGTGAAAAAGAATAAGGGCAAAAAATATCCCCAGGTAACCAATTTAATAGAAACGGGAATGGGAATTGAATCTTAATACAAAATGTTATTCAAAAGTTATGAGAATTATAATTTTTTACTTAGGTTTATAAGCAAAACAAAAAATCATATTAAAAAGCCTATATGATGCTGCAGTACTTCCAGAAAAATCCTCAGACCTCCAGCTTACAATAACCTTTTCTCAAATCAGTCTTAGTTGATAACTGAAAACTCCACTGGAGACAAGCAAGGAAGGTAGTGAAACCCAGTTTATTCTACCACAATAAGACATCTTCTGCTCATTTGTAATTAAGCTGAGACTTTCCATGAGGTACCAAATCCATTGATTCTGGAATCTAGATGAAGTAAAATTTAAAACTTGTTTATCTGAAGTACTACATTGTGCTTTACAAGAATGCTGCACATGACTCAACCAATAACTGGTGCTCCTCCACTCGCTCCCTGACTCACTCACTCACTCATTGACGTTGCCTCTTCTCCCAACCTCACGTCTCGAATTATTGTCACAGCAATAAAATCACACACATTTTCCTGCAGTCAATAGGCTTGGTTCCCTTAGACCCCCCCACCTTAAGGAACAGTATACTAATTTTTGTTTTTAATTAAGTAGCTTATTTATCTG